ATAAGAGAGGGTATTGATTGATGTAATCTTATTGGAGGTGAGGTGGTGGAGGGGACATGATTGATTGCTTTTGTCTGCTACATGTGTTGCTCTCGGTTGGCGACTCGTGTCCACTTTCATCTGTTTAATCTCTGTGTGAAGTTCTCTCATCCCTCCCCTCTGGTGTCACCAAGCAGCGGCGACGTCCCAAGTTTCAGCTGGTTTCGTTTGATCTCATCCACCTGCTCAAAATCGCTGTCAAACTCCCGTCTACGGCCTCATAAAGAGGAAGCGTCGTCGCCTGAGGAGCTTTACAGAGCCTCCATTTATTCACGTAGCCTTTAGTGATGGAGCACTACAACCAAATTAAATCACACCGACCAGGACAGACATGACATCACATTAAACTGAGTCTGTTGGTAGGACAGAAAATATGAGTCTAAATATGAACTTTTCAGATGATTTATACCAGGTTAAGACAGAGGAAAGCAACACATTCTGCTGATACCAGGCGACTAACATGAGTAGTTCTTACAGGACAAATCAAAGTAAAGCAAAGCCATGCAAAGGCTGTTGGACCCTCACCCTGGCCCACCCTGACACAGTGGCCCAATGACGACATAATATCTGCTACAGTCACTCAAATAATATCCCAGTGCATCTCCAAAAATTAGAACATTGTAAAAAAAAAAAAAAAAAAAGTCATTTTATTTTCTTAAATGTAAATTTTACAGGTTAATATTCATTCATTCTACATAAACTGACATATTTCAAGCCTTTTTTGGGGGATTTCTGTTTTGATGATTATGGCTTAAAGCTAATAGAAATCAGAAATCTGAAATTATCAGTACATTTCGTATAAAGAATTTAAAGTACAGAACTGTCCAGCGTCTGAGGAGTCTGTCTGATAAACACTCGCTACCTGTTTGGGGCTTCGCTACCCTAACCCTAACAGCCTGTGGCCCTGCTGGGACGGTACTGAGGCCCGGTTTGCTTTCATAGCGGCCTTCAGCTCGTCTGTACTTTTGGGCTGGGTGTTTCTCATGTCCTCTTGATACCACATATTGGGTTTATGGGGTTCCGGTCAGGTGAGTCGGCTGGCCAGTCTGCTGGAACAGGAACTCAGTGGACCAACATGAGCAGAGCACAGATCAGCCCACATCTCCGTCCAGACTCTAGAACCTTGATTTCCAAATGAAACGCATCTGAAAGAACGCTTGGATCACTGAGCAGTAGTCCAGTTCTGTTCTTCCTCAGCCTGGGGGAGATGCTCCTGACTCTGTCTCTGGTTCTGGAGAGGCTCGATATGAGGACTGTGAGGGTTGCAGCTCCTTTCCTGAAGATGTCTGGACTTGGTGGATCTAGATGCTCTGACACCAGCCTCAGTCCCTGTAAAGCTCTCCCAACTCCTTCAACTTCTTGACAGTTCCTAAAGTCTTTGGTCATCCCTGGCACTTGAGCACCGTTTCCTACCTGCATTAATTGTATCTATTTATAATCTGGTTTTATTTTATATAATTATTTTTTAAATTTATTTATTTTTATTTCTATAGTTATTTTACTTTATTTTTATTTTCCATTTCTATTATTCCTGCTCATTCTCCTTCCATGTTTGTGCCTCATGTACAGCACCCGGCTGGTTCCTCAGAGGTTCCTAAACCGGCTGGACTTAGCCATGACTTCACCATTTCTTTCTGTCCTAAACAATACGTTGGAACAGTTCCTTTATGTCAAGCAGAACCCGGCCTTAACCTCGACTCACATGTAAGAATTATTCTAAAACTAGTCCTGTATCCTGGTGAACAAACAGATTCTGTAGCATGGCTTCCCAGCATCAGCCCTATGAGCTGCCGGCCCAACCAGAAGCATTAGTGTATTATTGTTAATTATATATATTATTATTATTATATTATGTTAGTTGAGCCCTGGGTGCAGTGACCTGAGCATGGACGTGTTCTGCTTTTCTGGAATTCAGCTTTTCGTTGTTAGAACAGATCATTTCTTCTTTTAAAGGAAACAAATACCATAAATACAGTAGATCAACATTTAGTTAATATATTCTGATGAGTCTCACTGTGGCTGAACCCCAAAGACAGAACTATAGGAAGACAATGACCAAAAGGACCAAAGGACAGACCTGAACTGGGCTGATTAACGATCAGTCCCAGAACCTGTGGGGGTATTGATGCTGGTTGCTCCCCGACTGCTTTGTACCCAGTCATGGGTCCATGTATCGACAGTTGGGTTTAAGGCCTCAGAAACGTCTTTTCTCTGCAACAGCGCTGGTGTCTGAGCTCCAACGGCTGAAACAAGGCAGTGAATTTATCACGAGTGGGTAATGCAATTACCTTGGGAGTGGCCACGTGACAGGAATCAATGTGACACAAAGCACTCGCCATCGACTCCCGTCCGTGACAAAGTGCACCGCCGTCGCTCCACAGAAAGCGGTGGAGTATTGTAGCTGGTGAGCCTCCGACTTTTTGATCTACTGTTGGGTCACTGCAGCACTACAAAAGAGCCATTGTTCTAGAAGAAGTAATGAATGGGCTGCTGAAGTCACAGCTCTGGAGGAGCCCAGTCACAGCAGTTACCTTTATGAGCCTATCTGGACACGACTCCTTCATGACCGGGAGTCATCTGCTGCTCTCACCTGGTGCTCTCCTTGTGACTGAAGTTGTTCCTGTTTTCCAGCAGGGGGCCTCAGTAAACTGGATACCACACTGGAAAAGAGTGTATTTTAACCACATATCCTGTCCTCACCTCTGTAGGACAAACTCAAAATCTGTAGCACTTGAACTGGCCTCAAACTTGCTGCAGAAACAACAAGAAATGCACTGCGAGTCCGTTCAAACACATCTGTGACGAGGCGGTCCGTTCATGTACAGGGCTGCCACAAGGCCATGGGGTTCATGTTTAGGGTGTCATGATTAAAAACGAGGAGGAGGCAAAGAGTGCGGTCATCGGGGATGAGAAAGAAAGCGGTTCGGGGGAGGAGGAAGAAGAGCGAGCAGCTCGGGGAGCACTGGAGCAGACCCACACAGTGGCTGAATCAGAGGGATAAAGAGACGGGAAGGAGCTGGGGAGTAATAGATTTGAGCTGCTTGGCCACACTTCCCACACAGCCCGGCCCAGCTCCTGTGTTTTCTGTTTTAATAGGGGGGAAAAGGGTGAAGTCAGCAAAAACAAAATGCCGCCATTAAATCATCTCCCCAGATCTAGTGTCAGAGCAGTAATGGGAAATGCACTCATCATCGGAAAGGTTACTGCTTCCCAGAGCCTCCCTGCTAGCTTTTCTCTCTTCATCCTCAGCCCTCCACCCCTCCATCCCTGAGCTCCACTCTCAAGCCCTAAACCCAGAACCAGCCGAAGCCAAACGGATCTCTGGTTTGTTGGATGTTGGTCCTCCTCGGGGGACCGTGTGGTCGAGGGCGACGGGTTGGGCGGCTACAGGATCACCGTTGGTTCCATCTTGAAATGATGGCGCCACATTATCAGAACGTTTCTCTGGTTCCTCCTGATTGTTCTGTGAAGAACAAAGGCTGTGCTGGCACCTTTGTTAGCCTGTTTACAGATTTAATAGCAGCTTTTGACACAACGGGGGACGGCGGTATCGGCTCAGCTCAAACATCTGATACCTCCAAAGCTGCTAGCAGTTTGACAAACGTTACCTGAGCTGCACCTGGTGCCGTCATTGGCGAACAGAATCTACAGCACCACTAAGTGGACTTCATACTTTGATGAAGGCTCTAAAGTTCCAACAGTTCATATAGTACAAAGCCGGCCTTGTGCTAAGGTCGGGACTGAAGCTTAGAGCTCCACAGCGGCTGTAAGCGTGTCGTGGAGGAGCAGAACATGCTTTGGGCCGCCGTTCTTCAGCTACGTCACGATCAAGCTCCTCCTAGATCACAAACTGTACGAGGTGTTTAAACACAGTTTGGGGATGAAGCGTTTAATATCGTGGCCACTGCTCCATCTGTCCAACCACAAGCTCTGGTTCTAAAACCCAGCTCGGTTCTAGATCAGTGGAACCAGGATGGCACCTGGACAATAAGCAGAACTACTGCATTGCCAGAACAGGAGGCAGACGTAGCTCAGGGAAAACAGAGCCAGATCCTTAACTCTTAGTATTTCCTTCAGTCCGGGTGCGTCACATGAGGCAGTTATTCCTCATTAGCAGACCAAAGGTGTGGTGGGTAGCTTGTTGGTGTTTTGCAGATCTTCCCCATTGATCCGCTGACTGATCATGTGATGGTCTGTGCTCCAGATCCTGCTAGTTTGGATATTTAAACTGTTAGTGAGATGCTTCAAACTTACATTTATTTCTGTGTCGATGGAAACGTTCGTCCAGTCCAAGCACCATCCGTAGTCACATATCCATCTAATGCAGATCTCTCACTGAATAAAACTCCTAAAGATAAAACTGTCATGACATTTACTCAGCACACTGAGTCGGAGCTAGTTGTTGTCTTCGGTAGTCTGCTTTTGACTGGTTGCTGATCATTTATTTTATTATTTCTCTGCCAACATAAAGGCCTGCTGCATGTATCTACAATATGCAGATGGGAGACATATCAGCTGGCTTAATAATGTCCATGTTGATTATAATGACCAGGACCAGCCGTTGATCGTTTACTGGTTTCTCTGGGCTGTTGGCTTCACTGTCTCGTGCTCTGGCTGCTTTTTAAACGCTCCGGTTCTCCTGACAAGCTCCGGTTCTGCAGCGAACTTATTCTATCACTACAGCACGAACACTGTGAAGGAAAATATCAGAGAATCAGCAGCTAGGATACACATTCCTACACGTGAGGGCAAAGAGAGCAGCCATCAGATCCGTGGAGGCTCAGCTCCATGTGGGCTGAGCAGCAGCGCTTCGTCTGAGCCGCCCCCTACGCAACAAGAAGGCCACTTCCCAGGTGATAAATCATAGATGACAGAGGGCATTACACGCACAAATGGACCGCCGATGCCATACCTTTAGAACAATTAATTAGCTGTCTGACACTCATTTATCACTGCAGCAATAAGGTGAAAAAGTCAAGAGTTTATTAAAGCTCTGCTTAATTTTCAAGAGCTACAGGCCAGAGGCTGGGACACATCACATACACAAGAGCAGCAACGTTCACATTCTTACTTCCTACACAGTCACAGTAATACAGAACACAACTGGTCAGAACAGTTCCTTAAAAGCATATCTGTAAACAAATGTAAACAAATATTTGGCAAATAAAAGAAAACGTGGTGGTCGGTTCAGGACGCCACCACCAATCAGAGTTCAACTCTGGTCACAACACGAGCTCATGTTTACTCAAGTATGTAGGCACGGAACGAAAAGACGAGAATGCTGGACCTCTTCAATAAATACTGTACACATCATCACACTACAGAGCTACCTAGCAATCATTTATACAGGACTACATCACCGTTATTCAGCTTAAACTACTGTACAGGTCTGGGTAAATAGATATAGCCATGCACTGTAAGAATGACGCATCGTCTTGGAGACTGACTGGACGTGAAGGGAAACGACTGTCAGGAGTCAGCAGGTCATTCTGCACCCACAGCCCAACCCGCTGTTTGGCCCAGCCCGGAGAGGCAGAAAGCAGTGAACTGCATGGTTCTGACTGCTCCCAGAAGCATGCATACAGGCCCTGGACGGGCAGCAGAGTGACACATGAGGGCAGAGTACCACACTTGTCATGAGTCCTGACAGAAGAGCAAGCAGCTGTTGTTTTGACAGCACTGTGGTCCACCAGGGACGGGGAGATGGAGCTGGGCTTTGTTCTGATGACCAGTCAGTTTAACTGTCACTGTAGGATGCATGAGGACAAGGGAAGACTTCTAAATATCTACGGACACTACAGACATCTGGACTAATATTTAGGTGCTATCACTGCTAACTACGATAGTCTGGACTACACATACTTCATGGTAGCATCACTGTACCGCTGTGCTTATACACTAGAGACAGTCGGCATGTTGGATACACAACGATGACTTTTCTTAATATTTCTGGCCTTCTGTTTACCTAAAAAACACAACACAACACTCAAGTCTCGGAAAGCCGAGGCTGAACTGCATCTGTAATGAACCAAATTTACACTGAACTGCTCAGAGTGACTGAGTGGCAATGACTCCGATCAATAGCTCTGATTGGTACTGATGAGAAGTCATAGAGGGAAGCCCAAAGGGCAGAGCAGCAGCCGAGAACCCCACCCCCTCAGAAAAAAAAGAGTCTGACAATCTACTAGAACTGCTCTATAGATGAGCTGCAGGTGAGTCCCTAGAGGCAGAGAGAGGACTATGGGGATGGATCCAAAGTCAGAAGATGCAAAAATAAGCTGTTGCTAAAGGTGAAGCATCTCCTACAGGGTGGAGGGTCGAACTTATCCAGCAGCCATGTGGGGTTTAGAAAGCTCGCCGGCTTTCCATGAAGGTCTAATCTGAACATGACCTTAAAGACTCCATGAAATGGGCACTGGAGCTTCCAGGAACGCTGGTTCTTCAGAGGTGTTCATGTTTATTATCTGTGATGATATACTAAACCAATAAGTTCATCTAAGACGTTCACAGAGCCACCGTGGCTGTCCAATCAGACTAAACCTCATAACTGATGAATGCTTCGATGACTGATATCCATCCAGAACATTCAGCTTGTAAAGGCAGTAAATCAAATAAAGAAGCAGTGACACCATTTCATGGGATCTTTAAGGACTCAGAGGTCTTGTACTACTATATGTACAGTACTATATGTATAGTACTATATGAGCCCAAACACATGGATTGTATGAACACACACAGATCTCTTACTTGGTCAAACTTGCATTGAGACGACTGTAATCACAGCTGGTCACAGAAGGAACCAACCGAGTCACAGTTAATCAATAAAATCAAACCGGCTTCAACCAGATCAGCATTTAGGTTCCATGTTTTAGATTCAGACAGTTCTGCTCAATTTTCGTTGGACAGTTGCTGGTCCAGTTTGGATCAGAGGTGGTTGTGGGACGGCGTGGCGGTCTGGTTCTTCAGTCTGACTCGAGCGCCATTCTTCAAACGCCTCAATTTGTCTCTGTCTCTAAGCCAACGGTCATCTGTCCCGAGTTTTTATGGGAGGTGAGGTGGCTGCCCCGGCTCTCACAACCTGTGCAATGCAAAGATAGAAAGAGTCAGGGCAGCACACCTCACACCCCGACCAGCAACCCTCAAAACTCAAACGGTGCCTCAGGAGCACCACAAATCAAACACAAACACGCTGGTATTCAAGTGTTGAGCTCCCCTCCCCCCATGCTGGTCCCACCACGGCCATAGCATCATGTTTTAAATGTCGCTGCATCTGTGTTAGAATTAAAAAATGTGGATTATTGTGTGTAGATGTTCCTCTACATTGGCTTTTCTTTATGCCTCTTGTCTGCTAAACCTGCTCATAAAGGAGTGCAAAAGAAAAGCACATGTAAACAGTAGTTTCCTAAATGAAGTCAGCATTAAAAAATGAATTAGAAATAACAAACCTGCATGAACAAACAGAGGTGAGCTAACGTTCTCCTGGATAGACACAGTGCAGGACAGCAGGTAGACTCACCATCATTAGCTGGGCTTCTCTATTAACAATGCTTTTCTAAAATAATTCAAACTGTGTCTACTTTTCCATTTCTGCTATCCACATTTAAAAAATGGCGATGTCAGTGGAATGCAACACGTAATATTTTACATTAAAGCAGAGGCACAGAGAGGAAGCAGATCCTCACAACAGGGAGGCTGGACGATTAAATATTCAGCATTTCTGCTTAAAAATAACCTGAACCATTATACAGTTATTGAAGGAGTTGGCAGTTTATTTGCGGTTGATTAAATATTTGTTGACGCTCTGGTGGGTTTATGATTCCTAAATTGCTGGTATGTGAAACACTTACAGAGAAGTGCTGAGTTCAGTGGCACAAGTTTAACAGGAAGTAGAATTTATTCAGGAATTACCAAAGTATTTTTTTTAAACTTAAAAAGCCTGCAGGCTTGAAGGACAGTGGTGAGCGTGGCGTTGTTGGCATCATGGAGCTAGTGCTGCAGAATGTCTGAATTTATCCAGAAACAGACTGAGCTGAGTTTAACCCTAACCCAACGAGCACAGACGTCAGATAAAATGAATGTAGAGGAATAAATGCCTATTTTAAATACCAGACATTAAAATAAAGGTTTCATGACTCAGTGTAAACATTTCCATCCCTCCAGCTGCAAACTGGTCGAATGGAAAATAAAGGACGTCGGACTCAGATTAGCCACAGCTGGGTTTGAAGCTAAAGACTCAGACGGTGGTGAATGTCACATCAGACAATGACAGGTCTGAAAAGACAAACTCAACAAGGAAAGGCCTGATGAGAATAAAGGCGTCTCTTAGAAAGAAGCTCACGGTATGACGGCGTGCTGACGAGGTGCCGGCTCTCATCTACGTTACTGCATTTATACGTTTCTGCACAGATTCCAGTGGCAAGAAGAATCCTGTTTATTAGATGCCTGACACCTGGAATCCAAAGAAAGGAGTGGAATAAATTGTGGTATTCATTATGCCCTAATCAACTGTGCAAATATATGTGGCAGGTCAATATAGGGGCCTATGGAGGAGATACCGTCAGCCCTGATTCCTCAGAGCACAGGCGGCCGCAGCCTAATGAAGACTGAACTTTAATCATCAGGAGGATACGGCTGCTCACCACACACACACACACACGCACACACACACACACACACTTATCACACACACACACACATCATCACACACGCACACACACACATCATCACACACGCACACACACACATCATCACACACACACACACATCATCACACACACACACACACACATCATCACACACACACACACACACACCGCCTCACCTCACAAGGTTCTCGTTGTCGCCGGGTCCTTTGCAGGTTGTACACTCGGTCCTGGTATCGTCTGCTTTGGGTTTCTTCTGCACTGCAGACTGGCGCTGCCGGCGTTCCCTTGGCAGTGGTTCCTATGGAAACATGGCTGATTAGAGAGGAGAGCTGTACAGGTACTCGTCAGTGGCCACCATTTAAAAGGAACAACATGTTAAAGTGGGGAGAGACGGAGGAACACTACAGTGTCTCGTCCTCAGTGTGTTCTAGGAGACAGACCAGTAGAAATGGGCCGGTACATGCACACACGTCAGAATTCCAGCTGTGTGGAATGTTCACATAATGTCAGTGTGCACTCAGGACGAGTGGACAGCAGGCTTCACTGAGCTCTGGTTTTATTGGTCAGCATCAGAATCCACATTTAAACTCTGCATTGGAGAAACTTTAGAGGAACCATTTCACAGATTGTTCTTTAAAGAGAGAGATATGGACCAGTATGTGCAGGATAAGACCAGTAAACCTGGATTACTGGACCAACACAGCAGAGAACAGTGAAGGTAGAAGGTCTGAGCTGGTGTCAGCACCAGAACAACAGCAGTGGTCTGGAGCAAAGCAGAGAAACAAACCTCGATTTTATCTTCTCTGTCTTCACAGATTGGAACCCTCTTCCTCTTCTGCCCTCTGGTTCTCTGTGAAACACAAACAGTTAATTAATTAATACAGTAATTAGGAGTTCATACAGGCAAAGGCATCCCAGCAGAACAGCACAGAAAATAAAATACAAACAAAGGTTAACAGTAAAGAAGAATGAAAAGGACAATTTAAAGTAACTGTATTTTTGACCTGTTGACAGTTTATTTTAAAACAAATGTCTCAGCCAATCAGGAATACTGACCCATGAACCTCTATCACATGGATAACAGAAAAACAAAAGCACCTTTTCTTTTAAACTGTAAAATCTATATAATGACTGTTCAAATGAAACGTGTTCGTTTAGGAGCAGTAGTTCATCAGCTGATATATGCTGCAGTGGAATCTGTTCCTTTTCTGACCCATATGTCAGAATAACATCCCAGTAGAAGCAGGAAGACCTCTCCTCTGGACCAAACGAAATCACTTTCATTACTATTTCATTCATCTTCACCCTATAACAGAGCTGCTGTCTGGATCCTGCTTCAGCTTCTGTCTCCAGTGAGCTGAAAGCAGCTGATTGTGATGAACAATGCTGCTCATTAGACTTTACATAAAGCAACACTGATGATTTAAGAGGAAGTTCTCTGTATGAACAGGGCAGCCTGCTACTGGCATCATCACCCTACCACATCTGAACCTGTTCTATGGCTCTGATCCAGGTGGTTTCCTCCTGACTAGAGGGTTAGGGTTGCTGGTGTTGGATCTGCTCTCAGATGGACGTCGCTTTGGATTGAAGCGTCTGCTGATGAACCTGTAGAGCTGTATGAGGAAGCACTGCATACCTGTCCACTGTTAGCAGATGACATCCAGCTATGTCTACCTCACGTACATCAGCAAAATGCCCCCACAACATAACGAAGCCCCTCACTGCAGGACACCACCTCCTGACCTCTAATCTGAGCCCATGAAGGCGACCTGACTCACCACACCAGCAACACTAACCACCTAGTCCTGCTGTGTATGTGACTGCTAAACAAACCAGCACACCGATCACCTTCTGTCCCTGTACTGATGGACTCAGGACAACAGCATCTACCACACGGGTGCTGAGGTGTGCTTCCTCCTTACAGGTGGCTGAATACGGCATGAAAGGAAATACAAATCAAACATCTCCTTCTTGTTGCTAGCCAGCAAGCGTCTGATGCTGGGGAGGGTTTAAAAGGGGAAGAAAAATCGACAACATATTTAAACAGATTGTGAAAACAATTCCATCTGTCGCCTTTGGCTCACCACCACTCGCCAGATGGAGCACTTATCATTAAGACTGCTAACTGCAAGAATGCTGCCAATTGGCTCCTTCAGACCTTCATTCCTCTTGCGACTGCAGCACCAAACAAAAGGCCTGAAATTATTGAATAATTTCTGCATTAAAGTAGTGTCTCTTAAAGCAATCTATAAGTCAGGGAGAACAGAGAGCAGCTCAGCCGCTGGATCAGCTGAAAACGCTCAGCCTCACAGCAGAGCTAATCTCAGGCTCTGCTCAGGTGAAGAAATTAAAGCCGCGGGCAGTTTATAAGTCCCAGGCAAAATCAATCTTCTAATTAAGTACATCAGTGCATCTTTAACAAGCATGAATCATTTCACACAGGATTAGAGAAATTAACAGAGCATAGGAAGTGGTAATAACTACATATATTAACTTAATTCTCATAATTTTAGCTGATTAATGGCGTATGTTCATGTGGGAGGTTTTAATGTTAGTGCTGTGCTGAGCTGCCAGCAGCAGTAAACCATGTCCCATTAGGGAGTATTTATCCTCACCTTCAGTTAGCCTCTGAACCCCACGACATCCCTCCTTCATGTGCTGTAAGGGCACCACATAGCTATACCATTGCTCCAATTAAAACATACAGCCTGGACGACTACTGCCTCCCCTGTACTTCCTGCATCTAGTGTTGAACAATGAACAACAGCTGAAGGAATGAGGAGAACCGTAAACGGCACGGTGTGAAGGACCTCTGGCACACTGACCTGAAACAGTCAGGACCTGTGAACAATACTGCATGTGTTTTGTGGTGTACTACATACAGCTCTGTCTGCACAACCTGTGGTGTATCTCCATTCCTTTAATGTTTATCATTTAAATCCTAATGACTGATTATTATTTTGACACCATTCCAAAGATATAAAACTCTTTTTTTCTCAGTAATCTACTTGTGCTTGAACACACCACAACACCCTCAGCATCCGGTACATCTAGTGATTTATGCTGAAATGGGAGAATTAAACCTGTTGACAGTGAAAACCAGTCTGTAGTGAAGTGGCTCCTCAGGGAGCTGCAGAAGATTCTGGTTGCGTTTACGTCTCTGACACCAGAGTGTGTTCATGAACTGGACTCAGACTGAACAGCAGTTTAGGGCTGGACCCGAACATGTCCCCCCCCCCGGCTGAACACACACTCCCCCCAACTATTCAGGGTATTCGTCATGAATTGGGCCGAATATCTGGAGAACAAAATATGCTATTCGGACCAGCTGTGGATGTGAACAGAGCATCATTCTGTACATGCTAAATGGACCGGGGCTCACAGGTTGACTTTAGAAGGTCTTCCTACAGCACACACGA